ATTGCAATCTCATCAGATAAGCCTAAATGGTTTATATAAATGTGAGATCAAAATATGCAATCACATATTAATTTCAATTCTAAAGCACTTTCAGGTAGCACTACTAATATCCAGCATACTGTACCAACTAATAACCTCAGTAGACTTTTTTTTTTCTATCCAATCAGATTTTACTTTTGTTAGCTTTTGAAAGCAATCTAATTTTGTTCATGCATTCATCTTAATACAATATCTTCTTAAAAGACAATTAAAATTTTAAAATTATTATTTTTTGTGTGAAAATTAAGAATTTAAGACCCTAATATTGACTTGTTTCGGCTTGCCTAGAAGGGCATGGAACAAAGGCAGCTCGTAGAATCAAGAATGTAATATGTTTTACATCACATTAGCTACTTGAAGCAATGCAATTGAGAAGAAAAAAAAGATTGTGGGTTTTACATGCTTGAAAATGTTTTATATGTTTGATTTTATTTTTAAATTTTCTTTTAGATACGCTTTACATGTTATATTTATGTATTTAAATTTTAGATAATAGATTTTTTAAAACATTTATTTTTAGTATTTAAGTTTATATATTTTTTATTAATATTATGTTTAATATTTTTTATTTTTTATTTTTTGGCTGTTTTTGAATTTTCTAACTTTTTTATGTTTTATCTTTTTTTTTTTTGTAGTTTTATGCCTTGCATCAAAAAGGCACACGCCTTGCCTTGTGCCTCAGGCGCAAATTGTCCCTTGTGCCTTTTTTGCACCTTGTGCTTTTAAAACATTAGTTGATACCTGTCCAAGGTGTTCTCCTTGGGGGGATCTATTGTATTCTATCCGAGTTTAATAAAATTACTTTACCTTTAATTTTTCAAAAACAAATTAAATGGTTATTTTATTGGCTGCATAAAGAAAACAAGTTGAAGTTCCATATTTTAAAAAGGTGTCAAAGCCATAATTGAGAGTAAGATGTTGGTAATTCTGTCATTTGAAGTATTGTCTTCTCTATTTGAGAAGTGCATGCTTTCCTAGAAGAAGTGGAATATTTAGACTCTTTCTTATCAATCTAATTTTTTTCTATGCATTTGGAATTGCCTTGATTGGGGTACATGTTACTAAGTAAATTGCCTAGACTCATATAAATCCTATGGTAGAAGGGTTTCTCTGCCTATGGCTTTTAGCTAGTGTTTCAACCTTTTATTTTATTTTATTTTTTATTTTTGACTCATTGGAACATAATATTGTAGGTCATGTGTACATAATATTGTGGACACTAATTTTCTTTATGGAGGTTAAGCAATAATCTTTAGCTTTTGCGTTACAAAAGCTTAGTTTTTTACTTCCTTTCTATTATTCCGGTTTTGCTTTTTGATTGTTACCCTTGCAGTTTCACTGTGGCTTTGAATGACCTGAATATTTGAGTTACAAAGGTGTTCTCAATTATGTCACCTGCTTACTTGTGCAGTTCATAAATGGGATCAATTTAGGGTTTATTGTCATCAGATTAGCTGTTCAGAATTGCACTTGATAATCTCTTTCCAAGCTGAAAATGTGGTCTTATCTTTTCTGTAACATGTTTCAATTTTATACCTTGTCAAAATAAGCACCCTTCTCGTTCATGCTGGTCTATCTTTTCGTCTTTTAGATGTATTGGTCACTAGTACCAAACAAGTTCAAACAAACCAGATCACAGAGTAATCCTAGATGTGGAACAAGAAACAGGTGTGAATTTCCAATAAAAAATAGAATATTTGTCATAACAAATTCTATATCAGGTCCAATCACCACAGAATGTTAAATACGAGGTAGACAAAAAATACAACAGAAATTCTGTATTCAGAAAATTGGAAGACCAACCAATCATTCCAGAAATATCAAATGGATTAATGGCTTCAGATACCGTTCACCAAAAAGAAGAAAAAAAAAAAGAGAGATGATTGGATGTGTATTTGCCTGAGCATTACTGACTGAGTTTTACTTGGTTGCATGCAATGAAGTTCTTTAAACCTAAAGATAAAGGTGGCACTGGTATTCAACCACTGTTGTGGAGATATGGGACTCAAATTTGGAACTTATGCTGCAAGTGTACAGAACAGCTTTGTGAGCATTAGGGAGGAATTCTTAAGCCAAATTAAATTCAACCCTGGCATAAAGGGAATGCGCGCCAACCATTACAGGAATGACACATAGGTGCTGATAGCCTTAAATTCTATCTTGCCTCAAACAAGGGAGCTACAATCTGAGAATTGTGAAGTGATCAGTGGAAATTTATGCCATAAATAATGTAGATTGGGAAGTAGACTCTGGAACACATCCCTCTTGAAGACACTCAACAGAACTCACAATACTACCACTGAGGACACCTTCAACCAAAAACTGGCACCTGATTATTTTGGGGACACTTGGCTCAATGAAATTTGGTTAAAGTCTCTCATTGTCTTCTTTTGGCTTGGTTATATAGTTAATAGTTGTAGTCTTTCTTTAATAAAAAACACATGCGGAATGAAGACAAACAGCTATTTCATGAAAAAAAAAAACTATTCACTCTTTATTTCCTGTTTTCCTTTAGCCATGTGATGGTTGCGTGTAGGGCCATCTGCATTTGAGTTCATCTTGGTTGTTGATCATTAACCCTAACAGGTAATCTGGTCTAGTCGATCTTCCATTGAGCTCAACTCCATACTAATTCAATTCTAAGTGAGCAATGGATGTTGGCCACTGCGCTTCAGGGACTAGCCTGGTTTTCTAGCACCACAAATTTCTTTAGAAATATCAAAAAGAAAATGCAATAAATTACTACCAGGTTAAGGTTAATCTGACTGGAGCCAGAGATAACCCGGCAACCAAAGCACTGTTCCTCTAGCCATCTTTATGAACCAACAATGGCAGAATGCAAGAGAACAAGGTGCCCTTATGCTGAATGGTAGTAGTTGCTCCAATTTGTCTCCCCATCGGGGTGTAAGACAAGGATGCCCATTATCACCTTACCTCTTTATTCTGGGATTGGATATACTCTCCCGATTATTCTTGTCATCTCTTAATACAAGAAGGATTTCCCCATCTATCTCACACCCAGGTGTTTGGATTCGGCCACCATTCTCCAAACTCAAAATTAACTTTGATGGCACAACTTCGATTGCAGGACTATACTATCTCAATCCCCTCAATGCTCAGTGGCTTAAGCTCCTAGATCAGCTAACAAAGTGGCCCATCGCCTAGCACACGTACTGCTTTATCTATTTCTCATTGCCATACTTGGTCTAGTCTGCCAGAATTTCTCACTGTTTGTATCCAGAATGATATATTACTGAGCATCTAATCGACTTGGCCTTGTTAGGCTTCAAATAAAAAGAAAAAAAGAAAAGAAAAATCTTTCCTTATCAAACATGAATATCCAGAAAAAAGTACTACCAAAGACAAGTATTACAGATTAGGGGTGCAACTTGGATGAGCCCAACTGGAGCCCGGACTGACCCAGGCCACAATTTTACATGGGCTGGGCTTGGATTTTCAGCCCTTGAGATAGGTCTGCGTCCAAAATATGCATACATGCATACATATACATATACATTATCAATTTTTAGCATAAACAGATTGACCAATCCAAACCTGGCCTGGGCCCGAGCCCAACTCGAATGTATCAAATTGTAGTGCAGGCTGGGCTCGGGTTGATAGTTTGGACTTAACCTCAGGCCTGGGCTTTAGGTTCAATTCCTAGGGTTGGGGTTGGGCTTGGGTTGAACTAAAACCCAGCCCAGCGCCCCAGCCCGCCAGACTTGCACTGCTATTACAGATTAGAATCCGTGCCGTGCAGTACAACAGATCATATCTGTTTTTTTTAGATAAATTCTTTTGATAATGTTCCAAGAAATTAATATTGCTTTATTCAAAGATCAATTCTCATATACAAAAATTACTTTTATTAAATTAAAGTAAATATGATTCATTTGACATTATAACCTTTTTCCCTTAATAAAGTAACAATAACCTAAAGTAGTCCTAACTATCCCCCTTGTTTGGACAAGTTTATGTAATCAATTTCTTTTGATTTTATTTGGTATCTTTGCAGGATAATTTTACAAAATAAAATGAAGATATTAACTATGAGTAATCTTTCATAGTAAATTTAACCCTCTCATTAATTTATAACTTTTTCGGTATAGGATTTAATTTCCATGGTTTAATTAAAAGCCCCCATAAACCCTAAACTCATACCCTATTGACTTGATGGATCAGATCCCTCAATCATCCATAACATTTTTTTTTTATTATCTGAGGCTAGCTAAAAAATCAATATTTTGATAAATAATCCCTTGCAATGAATGTCTGATTTGAGATCTCTCAAGTTATCTAGGAGGATAATTAAACAGAGATATTCTTAGCTAATAAAGGGATATATCCATCTAATCCAGCTATAATTGAAAACAAACCCGCCTGTTGTCCATCTCCTCTAAACGGATTGTACCTAATAAAAGGCCTAATAACACGCTTCATTTTAGGCTTAATTACCTCAACATTCTCTGGCTTCAATTGTGGATGCCCTCCACCACCTCAATCTCCTCCATTTCTTCTTCCTCTCTCTTCTCATCCCTTCTCCTTCTTCTTCATCTTCTTCTTCTGGACCATGGCAGATCATCAAGCACGCTCGTCCTCGTCGGCAGACTTCTACAACATTCTCAACGTGGCTAAAGGTAGCACCATTCGAGATGTCTGCAAGGCCTATAAATCTCTGGTCATGCGATGGTATCCTGATAAGAACTCTTCCCAGAACAAAGCCATTAGCGATGGGTCGGATGAGGTACGTAAGTCCTTGCATGTAAGAATCCAAATCCATGCACGAGTACGTATTGGTTTGAAATCTAACGATTTATCTTCTCCTCTGTCGTTCACTTCCGGCAGACCATTAACGGCAAGAAACAAGAAGATGGGAGCTCCGGTGGTTCTTCCCATCACTCCAGTGGTGGTTCTTCTCATTATTACTCCAGAGAAAGTAGAAAAGGAGGATCATCAAGAGGCCGAAGCTCTGAAACTCCCATGCGCGCCTCCAAGTATCCAAGCGTGGATGATCAGTTCACCACCCGCTCGCTTCTCTCCAAGAGTTCAAGCCGGAGAAGCCACACGCCCACGCCTAGCCGCACCTCTTCCTCTCTCACCAAAAGCATGAGCCAAAGGAGCACCACGCCCATCATGTATTCCTTCTCCAGGGCTCGGAGAAAACCTGCGCCCATTGAGAAGCAGCTCGAGTGCACTCTGGAGGAGTTGTGCCATGGGTGTGTCAAGAAGATCAAGATCACCAGAGACGTGGTTTCAGATGTTGGGTATGTTCCTTTGGGCCAGATTCTTTCTTTAATCTGGTTATTTGTTGAAGGGGTAGATAGGAATAGGATGAATTAATTGATGGGTGGATGGATGATGCATTTGGGATAGGGCTGTCAATGGGTCAGCTTGTTAGCTTGGATTGAACAAATAAACATATAATTAAAATGCATAGTACTAATTGTATGGTACTTGTAAATTAATTGTTGTTTATTAGGGCTGTCAATGGCTCAGACAGACCCAATTGAATCAATTTTATGGTACTTGGTTGTTCCCAAGTATTAAACCCCAACCGAGATACCCCCAGTCTAATAGCTTATACAAATGGATATATTTAATATTTGTGTCAATATAACAATCAATATGTTTACTGTCCATTAGATTGTCAATTATAATCAGGTCTTATTGGGTCAGACCGATAGCTGTTGCCACAGGTCTTATTGCTGTAAATAAAGCTCTTCTCTGATGTTCTTTCACATCAATATGCATGATGATATTTATTATCTTTTCTGCTTCACAGGTTAATTGTTCAAGAAGAGGAGACGCTTAAAATAAAAGTGAAGCCAGGATGGAAGAGAGGAACAAAGGTGACATTTGAAGGAATGGGTGATGAGAAACCAGGGTCTCTCCCAGCAGACATAGTGTTCTTAATTGCAGAGAAACACCACCCCTTGTTTAAGAGAGTAGAGGATGATTTGCTGTTGACAATAGAGATCCCCTTATTGAGTGCTCTCACAGGCTGCACCCTCTCGATCCCTCTCTTGGGTGGTGCAAAGATGAGTCTACAACTCAAGGACATCATATATCCTGGTTATGAGAAAATCATCCCAGGCCAAGGCATGCCTGATCCCAGAGACCAAGGAAGGAGAGGAGACCTGCGGGTCAAGTTCCATATCAATTTCCCTACACAATTAAGCAATCAACAACGCTCAGAGATTCGAGATCTTCTTGGAGATTCATGATCATCATCGATTCCGTTTTCTCTTATGTTTATGCCAATACACAATTCTTGTTCTGTAACTGTACCATATGCATATCATCAATATAAATATGCGGGTGGGTTTTGGAAAATATTGATATAGAACAAGGTTCAAAGTATTGATACATCCCGATACGCCAGAAAGGATTCTGGTATATATATATCGACACTTTGAACTCCTACCCACAACTGTTTACATGTTATCATTCATGGGGAGATGTTTTCAACGTACCGTTGTAGTGTCTTATAAGTAGGACATCCGGATTCTTTTTTTCTAGTTCTTTTCTTAAATAGGTCCAGAGTCGATTTAAACACCATTTAATGTTTAGAAAGAAAAAACCTACCCATATCGAAATTTTAAACCTTGATATATACTACTTTGTAGCTTTGCATCCCCAAGAACATCACTAACAAAATGGCTTACAAGCTAGGGGTTTAGTAGATTTAGTAATTTCTATCTTGAACTTATTTTGAGTTAGAGTACAGGCCAATTGATTTATTTGTCATTTAATTTCTTTGTTGGATCTATATCCATATCCATTAGGTTGGATTGAAAACGTTTCCAGTTTTTCGATAAGAAGAGAAAAAGATTCCAAAGCTGTGTTTCTAATTCGATAACCAGGAGAACCAAAAAGAAAAGAAAACACACAACATCTCCATGATCATTTATAACATTTTAAGCCTGCCAATATAGTAAACTATTTGCTAATGCTACTACTATTGCTAAGTAATAATTCTTATTTACAAGGATACATCTATTAATTTATTTTATTAATAAATTTTGACTATAACTACATATTAAATTTTATGACATTATATTGCTATTAGATTTTATATCGATTTAATTCATTTCATTAAGATCAAATATCAAGGTTGAAACTAAATTAAAGGGCTATTATATGAAACTCCCCTTATATGAAGGAAGTGTGGAGTGTTCTCATTCCTCCTAAAGTTGGTGTGTCCCACTGGAAAGTCTTCATGGCTTTCAAAACCGGACTGGAAAAATCAGGAATTGGCCATCTGACGGTTCTGCTTCATTTTAAAACCATTTTTTGGCCAAAAACTAGTGATTTGGTCAACGAATTGTTAACTCGGGCAGTCAAACTTTTGATTTGAACAACGGTTTTTGTCCATTTTTTATTTTTTTGTTAAAATGGATTATCTGTTCAGATTGGATGATCAAACCGTTTGACCCAAGAACCGGTCCCCAAAACCATTCTCTGTCTGATCCGGTTTTAAAAACCTTGGGCGTTCCATATTGGTGTATCATGCGTAGATTGAATGATAAGACTACTTATCATCTATTAATCTTTCGTTAATTTTTTTGTTGTATTGTTGTATTTAGGACTAGTTTCTTATTGTTTTTGGGTGCAGCTGTGCAAATGAACTTCTCCTATTAGTTGGCCAAAGAGAAGATAAAAGATAACGAGGAGATGAACAAAGCCGCATTGATATGGACAATTTGGAATAAAAGAAATGCAATACATTGAATCTATTCAGACTTCACAACTAATGATATTATAGAAATTGGGGTGCATTTGCATAACCATCGGATAGGGGATTGTTGAAGCTGAGCTTTCATAGAAATAGTCTTAGGGTATCTCAGAGCAAGGAAGAGCTCGTGTGAGGGTTTATGGGGCCTCAATCAAAGTGGAGAGTTGGGCTTCCTTGATGTGGAAAACACAGGTTAAGCCACAAGCGAGGCAGTTGGAAGGAAACAAACTTCTCCTAATTTTCTCTTCAGAAACGGAAGCGACTGGGGCATTACTCTCTGCCTCTGGGAAGGCATGGTTCATTGCCTCTCGTATTACCCTTTCCAGGTGGAGCTCTTTAGGTTGCAGCGATAGGCAAGCAATCGGTTATGGACACTGGTGGGTTAGAGTATTTGGAGTACCTCTCCATGCGTGGTGTACTGCCGTTTTCAAGGAAATAGGTGATGCAGCGGGAGGTTTCATCGAAGCGGATCCGAGTAACTTGTCCTGGAGCAAGCTAGACTCACTTCGGTTACTAATTTGGAGCAGGTCAGTCTATGACGTTCCAAAATTTGTAGGTTTAGAAATTCTGGGCACAAGTTATGTTCTTCGCCTTGAAGTCGAAGATGGTGATAGTAAAACGGGGAAGCGGAACTCTGCTTCAGACCCTTTAAATGGAGAGTGGTTAAGAGAAGGTGCAACCTGCGACACGGAGAGGCTTTGTCGATTCTCAGGCGTTGGGGATCGTCGCTCCGATCAACCAACATCGGCGGTAATTAGAGGTGCCCAAAGACCTCCACCTATTTCGAAGGAAAACGGAGGTCCTAAACGACGTCGTAGAAGGCGTTGCAAAAGGATCCACTAGTGTTCCAATCGGTGGATAGGGAAGGGGTTGTATCCTCGACCGCTGGTAGTCTCCTGGATAGCCCATCACCGTTAACCCTCCCAATCGTTCCTCTATTTGTCAAATTTTGAATCGTTGCTTCGTCCTGAACTGATGAACAAGCACGCATTGAGAGATCAAGTGGGCCCCCATCACCTTAAGCCCAAACCTAGACAGAATTCCATCTTTTAAAGGGCCTCTAACTTCAGGTTATTCAAATGTGGTCCATACGAGCCTACGAGGATTATTGGCTTGCACTCGTCATCAGGCCTAAGCCCATGTGTTAGTGATGCAAGGAGGTTGGTTCCACTATGCACTGTGTGGAGCAGATTCAAGCCCATTCTTGGGCCCACAAAGAGTGAGAGAGGCTTTCGCCTGATCTTCCATTATCTCAAATGGAAGTCCCTGAGTGTCAATCACATTTGAATCCTTCGGAGGAAAACCCTACTCTTTCTTCGGATTTGGTGGGTGGATCCCCAGCATCCGGGAGAGGCAATAGTCAGTCAGGTTGAGAAGTTTATGTGCCTCCGAAATTTGCTTGGGGTGTCATTAGACGAATTGCAGGACGTCCAGGTTCGTGAGTGGTTCAAGTCAAAAGGTTTCAACATGACCGAACTGATTCAACCAATCACAGTAGACAGCTCTGTTGCAGAAGATGAGATTGAATCCTTGAGCTATAGCTCGGATTGGTCATCCGATAGTTTGGATTACCTCCCAGGTAGCAGAAAGCCAAAATACTTGGATTTGTTCTACGATGTAAAGGTTACAAATCTGTCTAATGGCTTGAAAGGTAATAGGAGTGTGAGAAGTGTAAGAGGAAGAGGTAGAGGAAGATTTGCAGCCTTTTCTAGGTGGTGTTTCAGTTGGTTAATTTGTATGCCCTCCTCTTGTTTTGGTGTGCTGAGTTAGGATAGTACTTCTGTCCTATTTAGGTTGCTTTTCTCTTTGGGTGGATTTTTGGTTCTAGCCTTTGTTGAGGCTTGAAGAGGTCTCCGAAGGCCTGCCTTGTCTTGGAGCTTGGCGGTAGAGGCTTGTAGAGGCCTCATTTGTATATTTTTTGCTTTTCTTTTATGGGTTTTCAATAAAACTTTACCTTACCTTTAAAAAAAAAAAATAGAAATAATCTTAGGGCCTGTTTGGCACATCTTCTTATAACTCTAACAATTAAAAGAAAAGATACATTGAGCTTTTGATATAAGATCTGGGCAGCCCGAAGATAGTTTGGCAGACGCGCATTTTTCCATGCATCTGCCCGTATCTTTCTACGTGAGATTAAAACGCAAAAGATGCGGGAAGTTTCATTTGAAGCTTCCCGAAATGGGCTTTTCGTGTCTTTTCGACTTATTGTCTTTTGGCGGCTAGATCTTCCATGAACCAAATAGAAATAGACCAAAAATTAGTCTTTTCAGCTTGTAAACAATTGAAAAACCGCACGAAAAGATACATCAAACTGGCCCTTAATAATCCTAGATCATCTAGTATAAGGGGAGCTTTTAGGAGACGAAATGGAGTCATATTGGTGATGAAAGATGGTAATGCATTATAGAATTATTTAGGTGGCATTCATATTCAAGGAATATGCGGTTAACTATTCAATGGGTACAAAGATTAAGCTAATATCTTTCCAAACAAAGGATAATTATGAGACAATTATTTTGGGCTCAAATGTAAAAGAAAAAATTGAACCAAAAATAAAAAGTAAAAGAATATGTTGTGGGGAGGGATAGGAGGGACTATCCTCTATTGTGCTGTAATGTATAGAAAAATCTCATAATGTACACTTTTGTTTATTCTTTATAAATTTTTCTATTATTTATCAAAAAAGACTTTTTATGGGTCCATCTTGAGAGCCCTTTTGTACCTTTTTCTTTTGTATTTTAATAAATTCGTTACCTAACTTACTTCTTTTCGAAAAAACCCAATGGTATAATAATGACAACTTAGATCTTGTACCCACACGTATGTATACATGGGAGGACATTTAACCATGATGCAGATATGAGAGATGTTCTCAATGTGTGATTCTAATGACGGGTGGGTAGGTGTGAATAAGGTTCTTGTGGGTAGTAGTAGATCTGATCTTAGTAATGAACCCAGTGAGCTGAACATGGCTGTAGGGCCCACAATGAGAAATTAAATGGCTGTGAGGCCTATGTATTTTATTACTCGTGTAGAGATTTATCATTGGTTGCATTCAGCTAATAGGAAATGCAGGTTGTGTTTGTAGTGATATAATACATTGGTTGCATTCCCCCTAAGAGCAAACCAGGTAATAGAAGTCACTCTAGGTAATGAGTTTTAGGTTATGTTTGGTTTGAAATGTTGTGTTTGTATATGCTTCCCTACCTTTTCATTCAAACCAAACACAGCCCTACTGTCCTACTCCAGCCATTCATATAGAATTCAAGACATAAAAAATGTATTTGAAACCATCTAAAATAGAAACTTTTTTTCCTTTCTTCTTTTTTTTTTGAAAATTCTACCGTACTGAAAGATGTTTTGTGATACAAGTTTGGGTCTATTGACCACAACACATTGCTTGCCATTCTCATTCAACCGCACATTGAAAATATCAATGACCACAATACAACCGATGTTTCATATGTGCGACTGGGGAAACATGGCCAG